TTGGCCTTGGTCTTGCAGATGTACAGACAGACAGACTGAGATGCAGATGGTTCACGGACAAAACGCCCAGACAGTCTTTGGTTGACCAGCTTTCTCCTTACCGGCATCTCTGAAATGGAACTATGTAGACCTCAGGGAGCTATGGTTTCTTGTCGACATAGATTTTGTTTAAAAAAAAAAAAGCTACGGCTTTCCCACATCACAGAAAGGCAGGTACATAAAGGCTCTCTTCTTGGAGGCACAAGCATCCCAAGTGGACTACATTTCCCAGCATCCCATGCAGACTACACTTCCCAGCACCCCTTGCACTAGGAGATGCTCTGGACAGGGTTCCACCGGTTAGTTCCTGTTCCCTGTCTCCCAGGGGGATCCTCCGCATTCTCTCCATCTTGGACTGTGGAATGAAGACCACCCTTGGAGAAGGTGCCGAAGGTGGCTGAGCCCCTCTCTGCCGTCCCCTCATCCTGTTCTGTCGTGTGAGCAAGAAAGGAACCTCCAGTGTTTGGAGTGGTTGTTAAGGCTGTATATCCGGCTCACATTTACATTAAAGGAGAAGGTTGATCACAAAAATAACTCGTAGAAGTCACTCACTGCGGTGACATGTTTACCACAATTCTCTTGGGGAATATCACGCACAATAAATACCTAAAAACGGCGGTCTCTGCGTTTATAAAGGCCAGTACAGGAACTGAAAACAAATGGATTAGGTCATGTGGTCCCGGTGGGAGGGGGTTTAAGAGGGCCTGGGAGGTAGTTTCTACAAAATTATTTAGATCACGCCTAGTGAGAGATGAGTTACTTCTAAGATGACTTATTTATTTGTTAGGATTAGAGCTGTGGCTTTGATTTTGGGGAATCTTCCTGCTCTGCATAGAGCGGGACGAGATTGAGGAGAGAGCACAGTGTGGCAGCACACTCGAACGCAGAGCGGTGGTTCCACGGTTACAGAAACCCCTCCCCAGCCCCTCCCTCCGAGCCTGTATGTCGCCTGTGTATGAGGCTCCACAGTTTGCATAGTCCTGACAGCCCCCACTCGGGCTGGGGAGGCCTTTCGAGTCAGCTGAGCCAATCCCACCCCCCCCCACCAGCCCAAGGCAGGTGAGACCCTGCCAGAGCATCCTCTCTCCGGCCCTTCGCCTGACGCCTCTGATCCCGGTCCTGCAATCTGGCCCGGGGCCACTCCAGGCACCTCGTCCTGTGTCTGGTGAGACCCTGGCGCCTTGGTCAGTATGCATCTCGAGATCTGGTCCTTCACGTCGCCATGGCTGCTCTGCGCCGTTAGCGCTTCCCGCCGCCTGGCTTCTTCCCTTCGGGTAGAGCCCTCGCCCAGCCGCCCTCTCCGAGAACGCCCTCCCTTGCTCCTGAGGAGCCCCAGCTGCTCCCAGGTCTTGTCATCTCAGCTGCAGCTTTTCACTCGGCCAGTCCTAATGATGGAGAAACCCACTTCCTAGAGCTTCACAGCTCCCCCCCGCCCCATCCTTACACGGAAGAAATGAAACGGTTCACAGCAGATGGGGGCATGGGCACTCGGGGCATGTTGGTGTGGTCACCCCCCTGAAGAGGAAAGCAGGGCAAGTGGGCGTCCTGGGACCCGGAAGCCAGGGCAGGTGCCCCCCTCCATCTACTCTTCTGATTCTAAAAGCTGCTTTGCTGCCGTGGCATGTGGGCTGTACAAGCAGCTTGAATCTCAAACCACTACCTATGTCTTCCTGGGAGGCCTGTCCACACCCAGGCCTCAAAGGTCTGAGGAAGCACCAGTGAGTTCCAGAGAGTCAGCCAGGCCCAGGGACTTCACTGGGAGAGGCATCAGGACCCTCTGCTAAACCCATGTTTGTGCCTCAGCTGTGTTCCAGCCAGGTTTGCGGTTCTCCCGCCAGGGAACAGCATTTCATCTATACAATAAAACAGATGAAAACTTGTTCCACAGCTGAAAGTTGCAGGCCAACATGCGACAGGGCACGATTCAGCCTTCAAAAGGAAGGCGGTCTGACACAGGCTATAATGTGGAGGGACCTGGAGCTGTGCTGATGGAGATAAGGGATCACGGGACGGACAGCCTGTGATTCCCCCTAGGTGAGGACCAGAGAGTCCGACCCGCTAGACGGCGGTTCCAGGAGCCCCGCCGGGGCTGGGAGTGCGTGTCCAGTGGGCACAAGGTTTCCTTCTGGAGGTGAGGGGCCTGGGGGTGAACGTGCCTGCACAACAGAGACTCTACTTCTCGCCTGCGAAAGGGACACTTAAAGAGTGGGTAGGACGGTAAATGTCATGTTGTGTGCTTTTTACCACAATTTAAAATGTTCAGGTCAGCTCTCCCAGGGTCCTGTTCATCCCTCTAACCCCCTGCACCCCGGCCCCCAAGACACATTTGTATCTAGAAGGGGGGAGCCCACCACCCGCCACCCAGGGGTTCCCGCCACTCTCCACGCAATATCCACGTCCCTTCCCTCCTCGGAGGGGTCAGAGATAGCGGGTCAGACCCTGCTGAGCGAGCGTCACAGAGAAATGAAGTATCTAAGATCTCTGCGCGGCCCCGCCCACCACAAGCAGGGCCCCGCCCACCGTGGAGCAGCCTCTGATACTGAGGCTCCGCCCCCTGCGGCTCCGCCCACCACAAGCAGGATCCCGCCCACCGTGGACTGGCCTCTAGTACTGAGGCTCCGCCCCCTACGGCTCCACCCACCACAAGCAGGGCCCCGCCCACTGTGGAGCAACTTGAGATACTGAGGCTCCGCCCTGGTGGCTCCGCCCCCAGGAGGCTCCGCCCACCACAAGCAGGGCCCTGCCCACCGTGGAGCAGCCTCTGATACTGAGGCTCCACCCCTAAGCTCCGCCCTCAGTGGCTGCGCCCCCCTGGCTCTGTCTCATTGTGGAGCCGCCGGGACTACAGCTCTGCCCCCAGGGATGGGTGGAGTGGGCTGGTCGTTCCTGCCCTGGACTCAGGGGGCTCCTCCCGGTACCCCCTCGGCGCCCTTGGTGAGCTGTCTGCAGACCCGAGGGTGCATCACGGGGATTCTGTACGGAGAGATTTTGCCGAAGCACAGTCACAGGTCTGTCTTCACTAGACCTACCCCAAGATTCCCTCCAGCTCGTCGAGAAAGGGGTGCCTTTGAATCAAAGCCCCCTCCTGGCCAGAGACCGTCCGGAGGAGTGTCCGTTAGGGGAAAAGAGACGGGGAAGGCTAGAAACCAGGAGAGCCTGGGCGTCTTTATGCGATTGCGGGTCCGGTGACCTGAGTGTCAAGCCGGAGTGTAAGCAGGTGTTGGGGGCGCGCCGAGGGTCCGAGTCCCGCCTGGTGGGAGCGCCTCAGACTCAGGGGCCCGGGCCAGCCCCACAGGCCCCGAGGGGGCGCTGAGTGGCCAGCCTGGGGGGTGCGCACTGCTGGGTGGCTCTTCACGGAGGTCACTCTCCTGATTCTTGGGGAACAGTTCAGTCAGAGGCTTGAGAACAGCCTGAGTAGCAGTTACGTTCATGTCTGTCTTCTGGTGGTGTTTCGGGTACCCGAGTGTGTGTGTGTGAGTTAAGTTGCTCAGTCGTGTCTGACTCTTTGCCACCCCATGGACTGTAGCCCGCTAGGCTCCTCTGTTCATGGGAGTCTCCAGGTAGGAACAGTGGAGTGGGTTGCCACGCCCTTCTCCAGGTACCCGAGTGCTTATATGTCATTGCTTTCATATCTGTCTGATTATGGCTTATCTGTGATCCTTACTCATAGGTCACGTATGCAGGATTTTAAAAACTTTAAAAAATGTTTTTGATTGCCAAAGACTGAAGGAAGCAGGCATTTCTTGGAGGGCATTTTGGCACTTCCTATCAACATGTGAAAACTAGCATTTCTGCTTCTGGGACTGTGTCCTGAAGACCCCCTGGCACACAGATGTGCAGATGTCAGCAGAGGGGGCTCTCTCAGGTATCACCTCGTCTAGAATGCAGTCTGGGGCGCAGGCCAAGCCCTTCTGCTGGGAAGGGGGGGGGAGGCTCTGAGGGGAGTGAGATGTTTGTCCCGCCAAGCACACGCTCTGGCCAGTCTGGCCCAGGTGTCCGGGTGCAGGGCCGGCCCCACCCCACGCACATAGCCATGGAGCACTGCGATCTGTTTCTACCCGAAGGAAGAAGACAGTGTGTGGTGTGGGTTGGGGCCTCTGTGTCTGTGGGTGCAAGCCTCTCTGTTCAAGGGCGCTCTCTGAACGGAGACGCGGGGACTCCCCTCTCCGCTTTGGGGAGAGTCAGGGAGAAACACTTGTTTCTCTCTTTTGGCCCCTGAGTTTCTACCTGAGCAGGACCTTCTTTACAATAAAAACCAGACTTCCTAAAGAACGCTAAGGTTCACTGGCACATGTCATTCCTTTTGGCTCATTCTGTGTTTGATGTGGTTTTGCAGATGGAGGCGAGGTGCCTGGGGTTTGAAGTTAGAGAGTTCACAAGACCCCGTGGGTTTGTCATAGGTGCTGTGTCTTCCTGCCTGGCTCCCGGAAAGCTGGAGGTGGCTGAGATGTGTCTGCATCAGTCATTCATCCTGACGCCTAGGGGGGGTCACTTGCCTCTTCTGAGTCAGTGTAATTGTATATACAGATATTTTAAAATTAAGCAAATAATAATCAGTGTGTGTGTGTGTGGGGGGGGGTGATTGGTTTTTTTGGAGGTTTTCTGATGTATCTAATGAGGCTCCTCTGACCACATGCCACCTTGTCCTCGAGTGGGACCTGTTTGCCATATTCAGCCAAAGCGAATAATTGAACCCACAGATACTCTTGTGAGTGTGTGTGCGTGTGTAAAATGACAACCTGTTTCTGTGGATCCCAGTGTTAGGCATACACACTTAGCCTCTCCATACACACTTATGAGGTGGGATGAGTGTGTGCTTTGCAAAATGCATGTAAGGTTGCTTCTCCTCTCCCGGCACCTCCGCACGCCATGAGCTGCTGTGGGTTCTCAGTCTTCCCTCCCGCAGCCTGGGGCGCGGGTGTGGTGGGGACCCCGGCGCGCAGGCGGGCAGGTGCACTCACCTGCGGTGTGTGAGGAAGCTGCCGCTGACGTGCCCCGAGCCGTCGCAGCCAGGCGTGGGGCAAGACATGCCCTCCGTCTTGACCGACTTCCAGGAGAACTGGGAGCCGTTGAGGTAGCCGTCCTTCTGCCTCTTGGCCGCCAGCGGACACCCGGACGCGCTGCGGTGCGAGGCGTACTTGCCGGTGATGTGGCCCTGCCCATCACAGCCGGGCACCGGGCACCTGGGGGCAGAGCGGGCGCGTGACTGCCTCGCCGCCGGGCGCGCGGCGGCCCCGCGGCGAAGTCGAAGCAGCCGGCCAGAAGGGAGAACCAGCCTCTTCCACTCCGGTTCCAGTGGGGTGGGAAAAACAAGGCCACTCAAAGGCGCCGCCTAGTGGAGCGGTGAGGTAGTTCACGCTCCGGGAAACTGGCCCAGGGAAGGGGCAAGAGGCTTTCCCGGAGCAGAGCGGCCTCGCTTGGGGAGGGATGCCCACACCCATGCGAGAAAAAGAACTCGTTTGTTGGAGCAGCTGGGGTGCGGGTGTCTGTCTGAGAGACACCGCTTTGGGACAAGGTCTCAGCCTTCAGCAGCAGATGTGCAAACTCAGTGGGAAATTGACTTTGGGATTATTTTTAAAAGATTGTTTTATAAACCTGTGTTCTTCTCAGGAGCAGGAGAACACCTATTTGTTTGGCCATGTTTTCTAGACCACAGGATACCCCTCCAGCCAGACGGGTGTGAGCAGCAGAGGCAGTTTAGTTACAAGGTGCCCCAGGAGCACTTTTTTATTTTTGTGATAAATGGGAAGCTCACCAACCGGAGCTAAAGTTCAGCAACAGGCTAATCAAGCAGTGTTTCTGATACTTCTCTGTCACAGGTTATGGCAAAGTGCCAAGGACTTACAGCAAAACCACAGGCACGTTTGTTTGTTATCATCAAAACTTTTCTCCAAAGACACTGAGTGAGATTAAAATTTCCAGAAGATGGCAGTGGATTTATATCACGGGTCTTTGAGGCTCACTGGGAAGCGATTCAGGGCCGGGGCCTGCAGGGAGGGGGGTGGAGGGCTGGCCTTCTGCCCGCAGTGGTCTCCATCCTCCTGAGCAAGAAGCAGAGGCCGACAGCGGGAGACTCGGGATAGAAGCGGGAGGCTCGGCCGCATGCTGGGTGTTGTGGTTAATGGCTTCATACGTCTCATGAACCCGATAGTGTAGGTAAATACGCTCAGTATGTTCCTAAATGTGCCCAGTAAGTTAACCCTCCCAGGGAGGTGTAGAGGGACGTTCCTTGTAACTGGTTTTACCACCCGGATGGACAGACATCCAGCTGGCACCGCGTCTGTCTCTCAGAGGGTGCTTCTGGCCGAGTGCAGGTGTGCGTGGCTCTGCTCTCGAAGCCGTGAGCTTGCCCTCCTGCAACCGCTCCAAGCCGGACATGCCCGGCCGGCAGCCCCGGCCCCGCCCCGGCCCCGCCCCCGGCCCACGCACCTGATGGGCTCCGGGTCCTCCTTGTCCTCTTTGCTCTGTGCTATCCTGATGCCGCTCTTCTTGGCTCTCGGGCAACCTGAAAGGCTAAGAAGACAGGTGACTTCAGAAGCTGTCCTGCAGCTTTACCCTCGAGCTCCTTTCACCGGTGATGGTGCTTTGACCCAATTTCCTCCAGAGTCTGGTGCTTCTTGGCATGAAGACAAAGTCCTGGGGAAGGGTCCATTTGGGCTTAGGAGCCCCTTGGGGCTCCCCCCAGGCCTTCCGACACTGCAGATCCCCCAGAAGGGCACCCAGAGCCTGGTGGGGGGAACCGGCCCCTGTGGAGTCTGGAGTCCCAGGAGAGGTGGGGCTGACCTGTGGGGATGGGTGTTCTCAGCACAGAGGGGCTACAGTGGGGAGACACACAGGCCCCCCTTCCTTCCTGCAGCTGGGTCCCAGAGTCCCCTGACCTGCGAGGGGTGTGCACCTGCCGCCCGGCCCCGTTTACCTGAGATACGACTCCCTGTGGCATCTTCAGAAGACGCAGTGCAAACTGACCAAGCTGATTTTATTTAATTTTGGAATTTGGGGGAGTAAGAGCTCACATTATCTAAAGGAAATTTTCCAGCTGGAATGCATATATGATTTTTCTTTCCTGTTCAGAGATAGCTAATACCAGGCTATTCGGTGTGAAATTATATAGAATGACAGGGACTCTTTGCAAGGAACCAGAGAACCGGGCCCCGGGCGGTCTCTGGAGCTGCCCAGGGGGCTGGAGGTGGGGCCCGGCGGAATCTGGGCGGGCGTGCCGTGCTGACCCTCTTCCTGGCTTTGTCGGGGCTGCCCCCCGAGCACGCTGGCCCTCAGCCTCTCGCCCCATCACTTCCGTCTCCCTAGCGGTGTCGCACGCTGGTGCAGCTGCCTGGCTCCTCTCCGGGAAGCCGCGCCTCCCGGAAGAAGTCAGTCTGAAGCCCAGACCTGCGCCCTGGGGCTGAGCGGTGTGGGCCTCTCCTGCCTGCCTCCCGCTTGCCTTGCCTTCCCTCCTCCACCCGGAGCTTCGGGGGGTGGTGTGGCTCCAGGCCCCCGCCTGCCGAGACGGGGCTGGGAGTGAAGAGAAACTGGAACAGAACCAAAGCAAGTGGCGCCACAGGGAGCCCAGTCTGGACCTGACTCTGACTCCGAGGAAAACTTGGCTCTGACACAGAGGCTGGTCTGGAATCCTGGCATCGTGTCCGAGGCGGGAGAGTCCGCAGCCAGCTCTCCCAGGCTCTGCCAGGCTCAGCAAGGCCGGCCACGGGTAGGAAGGGGCGCTGCTGCGTCTGAGTGATGGCCCTGCATGCCGCCCTTGCCTTGAGAAGCTGTGCCTGTGGCCGCGTCACTGACCGTCTGCGTGCAGAGCTTTGTGGCCCAAGTGAGAGCCTCTGGACGGGGCCAGTGCCCCCCAGAAGGCCGCCAGTCCTGATATGTGCTGGTACCAGGGGGCCCAGAAGGGGACGCCCCTCCCTGCTGGTGTCTGCGCTTCCTCGGGCTGCTTCCCTTGCCTCCCCGGGACCGGGGGACGCGCCCATCTCGGGGTAGGGAGGACGTGGGGCTCTTGCTTGGTCTCCCTGAGCTCAGGGACCAAGTGACGCATCTCGGCCCTGGGCTGCCCCCATCCCCAGGGAGGGCAGGGTGTGTCCTTGTTGTGAAAAAGCGGAGCGAAGGTTCTTGGGAACCGGGACCGGGGACCTCGCAGGCGCGGGGTCCCTGTGCCCTGTGTCCACGCCCTGAGGGTCAAAGCAGCCCTGGGGGAGAGTGCAGCGATTCATGGAAATGCTCTCGGCACAGACGGGAGGGTCCGGGGACGGTTCCTGCAGCGCCGTCCTGGTGGAGAGCCTGGAGCTCACGGCGTGCCGCTACTCAAGGTGGGAGGGTCCTGGCGAGTCCACTCCTGCTGTGCGTGCTCCGGGCCGCGGGGCTGCCGTCCTGGGTGGAGGGGTGGCGTCAGGGAGGCCCCGGGAGCCCGCGGGGGAGGACCTCCCAGAGACGCTGCTGTCTGGAGATGGCAGAAAGGAGCCAGCCTGGAGCAGGTCAGGGAAAGAAAGCCGTGCCCAGAAACAGTGCCTTTGCGGGAGAACTGAAGAAAGGGCTCTCGCGGCTGTGGTTTGAAGACAAGATGCTCGGGACGTGGCCTGAGCTCCTCCGTCCCCAGTGCGAGGTCTCTCCGCCGAGGACAGAGGGGACACAGAGCTTCTGATGATGGTTTTTTTTTTTTTTTTGATAGGACATCAGAGATGGTCAATACTATTGATTACAGTGAGCTTAAGAAAGCTTCAGAGGTGCTGGAGAGACAGCAAGTCACACCACATCCCCACCCCAGCAATAGCACGGGCAAGTCACAGCCCGTCTCGGGCGCGAGGGCGGCTTGCCTTTCCCTGAGGGAGCTTCTCGGGCCGTCCAGGAGCGTTCCATCCACGACCAGCCAGGACATCGGCGCCGGCCTCTCGGCCGAGGCCTGCCTCTGACAGCTAAGCACTCAGTTTCCTCCAGCGGAGACAGAAATGAGCCTCCCGCTGCTCAGGGCAGCTCTGAGGATGGCGGGGAGCATGTTTCCTGGTTCCTGGGGCGGCGTCCAGGACACAGGCCCCGGGGAGAAGTGATGTCCGTAAGCAGACGGACCTGTCTCTGGGGGGCGTCGGGGGACCCGAGGGTCACTCCTCTCCTCCCTGGAGCCCAGGGAGGGGCACGCATACCTCTTCGAGTTGTGCTTGCGGCCCTTGTGTGTTTCACAAGTTGAAGGTTGTGGTCAATCTAACAAGTCTATAGGCTCCACTCTTCCAATAGCACCTCTCACTTCATGTCTCTGTGCCATATTTTAAAAACTCGCAATATTTTAAGCTTTTCCATTATTGTTACATCTGCTATGCTGACCTGTGATCTCTGATATTGCAATTACAAAATGACTACAGCTCACTGAAGGCTCAGATGATGGTTAGAGTGTTTATAGCATTCGAGTCTGTGGCCTGGATCCACCGAACCCACCGCATCTCTGAGGTGCCTGTGACAGGCTGGAATCTTGGCAGGATTTAGAATAAGGCTGAGGGTCTGCTCCCTGGGAGAAATTCCCCCGAGGTTTGCATGTAGGGAACACCACCTCATGTTCCTGGGAGGTGAAAGTCGCTTAGTTGTGTCCGACTCTTGGTGACCCCATGGACTGTACAATCAGTGGAATTCTCCGGGCCAGAATACTGGATTGGGTAGCCTTCTCTTCTCCAGGGGATCTTCCCAACCCAGGGATCGAACCCAGGTCTCCCGCATTGCAGGCAGATTCTTTAGCAGCTGAGCCACAAGGGACACCCTGAAAGGCCTGTTTCTATGTGTCCTTATGACCTCCGAGGGTCACTGGGCCTGGGCTGCCTCTGTCCTGCTCCAGCGCCCAGTCTGCACAGGGCCTGTCACCCGGGAGCCTCCTCTCCGCCAAGGGCTCGAGCCCACTCTGACTTGTTTGCACGGAGCGCATTTCTCTGATAAACAAGGCTGTGGAACATGCCACCCCCACAGGGCTGTGTATAGCCCGCAAGTGCGCTGAAAACCAAGTCAATTTACTTCTCAGCTCTGTGGACTAATCCTGGTACTGTTAATTCCAGCCCTAGAGAATGGCTTCAAGTCAAGCTTTAATTACATTTTATTCACAAGTTTACGCTATACTAACATACACCCTGTTCTAAAACGTAAGTGAATGCATACACATGTTTAAATTGAATAAATTTACGTCATGCCAAAGCAAAAAGAAAAAAAGTAGAAAAACAGACAGGTGGGCGTGAAATGACCAGGAAATATTCACTTTTAGTTTGCAGGCATTGTTTGCTACTGGGAGTTGTGGCCTTGTGAGGACTGAGACACATTCTAACATAAAATAAAGAGTAGCATAGAATGTGCTTGATTTAGATACTTAACTCAAGCTTGATCTAATTTAATTTCATTTTCCCTAAAGCAGTGATGCTACTGCGGAGATCCCTTCTGGAGGTATTCACTCAGTTCTGCATTCACGATACAGCAGCTGGCTCTGGGTGGCCTGGTAAAACCGGGAGGATGACCTGGTGAGACTCCTCTGGGCCCTAAGGTGCGTGGCAGTGGCCCGGGGAATGCCGGGTGTGTTTGGAGACGCCCGGTTGTCAGGCATGGGGAGCCATGGCAACGAGTGGGTGGGCTGGCGCCGCTCCCCAGCACCCGACAGAGCACGGGGCGGTCCCAGGGCAAAGGCGGGTCGACCCCAAACATCCACAGTGCCAGGCAGACAGCCCCGGACAGAGACTGGGGTGTTTGCGTCGAGCGAGTGTGAAGAATCTGGCCCTCATTTGGTTCTCTCAGTGGGGTTTCCTAACCCCCACTTGCCCAGACCTGCGCTATTTAAACGATGCTCCCAAATGGATGGAAAGTGGACACAGAAGCATGAGACTTGCGGCAGGACCTTAACGAGGAAAGGGCCCCCTCGGCGAGCTCTGCCCCTGGGCCAAGCCCAGTCAGCCAGCCGGGGGCGGCCCTGACCAGAGCCCCGGTAGTTGGTTACTTTGGGGGCCACACGGCGTGGCCCCACCCTGCCCCCCACGGCCCACTCTGCTGGTTGGCAGCCGACGGGCTTCGGGGTGACCCCCAGCTGTCCTGACTCCTCCCTGCCTGTTCTCTTGTTCGTCTTTGCCCTTCAGTTTCTCGTGGGGGAAACTGAAGGGCCCGTCCACTGCCCAATCTATAATCTGATCTTAGAGAATGGCGAGCTGACAGCTGCGCCGTTACCTGTTTATCTGTCAGAGGCAGCTCTGCACCTGTGTGGGAGACTGTGTGTTACGAGGGTCTCTGGTCAGGCCGGCTCTTGTCCCGACCTGGCCTGCTGGTCCTGACTGCACTCGACAAGGCACTCCTGCCTGGGCCTCAGGGTCTGCACCCTTCTTTGCGCAGATGTTGTATTGAAAGGCTCTGCCTCTGCATGCCTAACACAGGGCCTGCTATAGAATTGCTGCTGTCGTGGTCTAGTTGCCTAGTCACATCTGGCTCTTTGGGATCCCACAGGCTGCAGCCCACCAGGCTCCTCTGTTCACGGGATTCTCCAGGCAAGAACACTGGAGTGGGCTGCCGTCTCCTTCTCCAGGGGATCTTCCTGACCCAGGGGTCGAACCTGGTCTCCTGCACTGCAGGCGGACTCTACCCTGGCCACCTGGGAGGCCCCGGGTGTGGAACAGAGGCTCATAAACTGTTTAGGGGGTGCGAGCCTCCCTGGGGCCCCTGTCGTCTCGGACGACGGAATCTCCACGCTGCCCTTAGAAGTCCCTGCCCCCGGGACTGGCAGGCCCGGATTTGTGAGGTCAAGCGTTTCTATGTGTTCAGCTCTGCTGATCCCTGCTTATAATAACCAAACAGCTTTGTGGCTCTAATCTCAATATTTAGGAGATCAGCTCTCAGTGGGATTAGCAAGCTTGCCTCTCAGTGGCTGTTCTCAGGGAGCTTATAATATCCTGGCTCTTCTTCTCATCCTTTGTCAATTTAGAAGGGCATGCTCCTGCATGACTTGAGAAAGGCTTCCTGCAGATGGAGCTGGTGGCACCGTTGCCGTGGGGACAGGGGGGCGCCCGAGGGGCCTGTCGGCCCAAGAGCTGGTGTTCTGAGTGAGGGCGCCACTGGCTGGAGCCAGCCTGCTTTGTGGTCGAGGGTCTCTAAACCCTCAGCTCCCCGGTGGAGCCAGCTGAGCACGTGTGAAGCCTGCGTTAGGAGGGCATGGGGGGAGGGTCTTGGGCCCAAGGCACGTACCTTCGGTGGGAAGCGTAGTTGCCGGTGATGTGCCCGGAGCCGTCGCAGCCAGGCGTGGGGCACCTGCAATCACAGACACACAGTGGGGTTCACTGGAAAGGCATCAATCTCCTGAACAGGTAGCTTCCTTATTCATCTAGCTTCCGAGGCTCTTGGACGTTGAGCCTCGCCGGGTGAAGGGGTGGGGGGTGTGCGGAGCTGGAGGCCCCCAGGTGCGTGGAGCAGCCCCCGCCCTGTTGCCTCGGGGCTCAGCCGGACCCCTCCTCCCTCCACGCACTGCGGCGCCCCCGGGGGCCAGGGATCTCGGGGCAGCACTTTGGTCCCAGATATTCAGCCTGCAGTCTCCCCCGCTCCACACTCCCCGCGTGCCCGCCCCAGCTGTTATTCAAGCTTGGTGGGCCAGTCACTGCTGGCAAGCTGCTGCACCAACCGCGCACGATGTGAGAATTTTTACATGAACAGGCACACACACTGGCCTGAGACTGGTCTGTGTCTAAACTCAAAACAACAGGTTACAAGGGCCCGGCCATGCTGACCCCTCCCAGTTGTGCCCCTGGTGGGCCTCAGGGCCTGGAGCAGGCACCCCTGTGCCAGGCCAGGGAGTTGGACTAGGGGTCTTTCAGACCCTCCGTGGGTGCTCAGGGAGCTCTGCTTTGGCACCGAAGTCTCTTGGTCCACAGGTCAAGTCAACTGAGATGATGAGAGGGGTCTGGACCCAGGCGGCCCGTGTTTAAACCTTCCCGGGAGCTCCCTGCAGTCTCTCTGCAACATCAGAACTGCGCTTGTGGCAGACGCTGGGTGTGAAGATAGCTCCCTGAGTCCTGCCTCCGCGGACCGCCTCGAATCCACCATCGCGGGAACCAGCAGTCCTGCAAAGACGCTTTGGCTCCAGCTACTTCAGCTGCATTAGTACCCGCCAGGAGGGTGAGAACGAAGGACACAAGAGGAAAGCATATCTTTTCTTTTTACGAAATGTTAGCTCTCAAGAAGCAAGGATGAAATGACAACAGTGTTACTGCCCAGGAGGGACCCTGGGAGGGGGCCCTGTGCCGCCTCCGTACGCAGTGAGCATCTGAGTCCCCGGCAGGGACACGCATCACAAATATAAAGTGATCAATAAGTGTAAGTGCTTTCTAAGTGATTTCAGCTTGCTCTCTGCTCTGAACGCCACCTGGGTATTGGATGTTGGGCCAAGGCCAGCAAATTACTTGCTTACAGACAGACTTTCTCAAGGTCAGTGAGCGTGTCAGGGCGTGTGTGATGGGCCCACACGGACCCGGGCTGAGTCCAGGGCTGCGGATGTCGTATCTTGACACTTAGATGTACTGTCTGTTGTTGATATTAGGAACTGCCTCATTCTCATCTAGTCCTGAGGAAAGGAGCACAGTTACCAACCTCAAGTATATGCTGACCCTTGGCGTGTCCTCTGAAGGACGAAAGTCTGATTTACCGCCTGTGCTGTGGGGGAAGGCGGACATGGAGGAGAAGTCGTCGATGTGTGTAAGCAGAGTCAGGGTGTAAAGACTGGAGTCGGAGGCCAAAGGAGGCTGTCCTTCCATCAGAAACAACACCCAGATCAGACTGTAGACCCGACTGTCGCCAAAGTAACAGCTGTTCGTGAGCTTCAAGTCTGACCACGAGACCACTCGGTCAATAACGTGGGTGACTGAGCTTAACTAGCTGATTTCCCAATGGCATCTCATGTGGAGAGGCCCCCCAGTCCCAGAGGGGGGAAATTTTGAAGCAATAAAATCATTCTGAGAAAAGCAATCTCCATGCACATTTCTGTTTTGAAAATGTATCAAGAAACAGGACTGTCTCCCACCAGCCAGCCATGTACACGTGGCCTTGCTTTTTGGTCAAAGAACTCCTTAAACTCTTCCTAATTTAAGCTCCCAGTGCAAATTTATTTAAAATGTATTCACTTAAACATGAGTAGAAATTCTTAAAGACTTTCTTTGGTAGAGGCAGGAGGAGGTTGACACACCCTGTTCAGATTTAAGTGAGGCGTCACAACCAAGACTGTGCAAAGGAAAACAAGATCTTTACTAATTATAAAAAAGAGAAGAGGACTTTGGAGTAGTTTTTGTGCATTTAAAACATTTACGAAAGCATCATTTGAAGAAAAAGACGTATTTAAAACGCCCTTTGTCACCATGAAAACAAAGAAAATGTTGACTTGGGTCATTTTCAGAGCTTTCACAGTGTCAGGAAAGAAAAAAACATTTCCGGAGAGCGGCCTGGCTTTCTGGAAAGGTTTGTTGTTTTATTTTCAGGGTTTCAAGTTAGGTAGACGAGTGATACCTGGCCTGCTGCTCCTAAGCTGTGAGGACGTGGAGAAGCTAAGCCCTCTGTGGTCACACCCTCACCTGGGGGAAGACGACGGGCGGGAGTGCCGGTGCCGGGCGGGCGGGGGCTGCGAATTCACACTCAGGTCACCCACCCCTGAAACAGCCCGCCCCGGTCCTCCGCAGGGCGGTGGTTTGGCGTTTTCATCTTTAGGGGGTGCTTCTGAACCGCACGAGGCAGTCCGGGATGGGGACTCATTATTCTTTCTCTAACAGCTCTGCGGAGCTCATTTTCATGGTACTGCTCAAGACTTAAGGATTTTAAAAACTCTGAGATTTGCATACAGATTTCCTTGCTTTAATACATCCCAGAGTTTAAAAATACACCGTTTTCTGAAGTCGGTGAAAGGGGAAGCGGCCGTTCGTGTAACAAAAGGGGCCCCTGCTTCTCAGAGGATCAACTCCCGCAGCCTCCATAACAGGCTCCTGCACAATCCACCCAGAAACTCGATCGGCTTCTGCTGGGCGGGGCACGTCTTCTCTGTGAAGGGAGGCCGTGTGGGACCACCCACACTCCCGAGGACGGATCGGGAGGCAGCGTGGCTGCACAGCTTGGCTTTGGAAAGGGCAGCAGAGAGTGGCGGGAAACTCCCCGCGAGGTTGGCGCTCCGGCACCTGGGTGAGGCTACCCCATTCTGCTGTCCTCCCTGCATCTGGCCAGTTCTCACCGACGCTCCACCAGGTCTGTTTTACTGGCCTGTGGTTAGAGATATAACTTTCTGATAAATAAAATACTAGCTTCTTCATTTTCTTTTTCTCTCCAGTCCAAAGATACCATGGGTAAAAACACTCTGAGACAGGAAATAGTAAACGTGTAATCTTAGAATCTCTGTCTATTCCCAAGGAAAATACTCATGATCCTTTGCCTTATCTGTGATCTTGAATTGCCTTGGGATTTAATCCATATCAAAAGAAAGTAATTCAGGGTAGTTCATGTTATCATTTGGCTGAAGAAATTGGTCCTGTGTAGACATTTAAGAAGGTGGATGGAAAAATCATAATCAAATCTTTAAGCCACATTTATGTTTTGCAAAATTCAGGCAAAAGTCTAAAGAAAAAGAAAAATTCAGGACCACTCACAAACTCCTGAATTTCCTGGAACTAATCTCTCAGTGGGGACAGAAGAGGTTTCTGTGGCTTTTGTGAATCTAAGGTGTAAGGCCCGAGCGCTCTGACTTCCTCTCGACCATCTGCACCCAGAAGGGCCACTGCAGCTCACACTGCCCGGGTCGGGAGCCCCGGCAGCGCAGGAGAGCACCCTCTGTGCCTCACGGCCTGTATCAGGAGAATCCTCTGACCCGCGTCACAAATGGGGCAGAGGCCGGCTCCGCACCTCGCCTCTGGTTCATCCTCCTCAGGACATGTCACCCCCTGCTGTGGTTGTCCTGGTTACAAGAGGCACCCCGACGCAGGGTGTAGCGGAAACAGCAGCGGTTTAATCTTGACTGAAGCTGTGCTGTATTGCTTAATTGCTTGTATGGACATCTTTAAAACATCTCTGTGTTTCGTCATCCTCTTTCCTTTGTATTTTGTTGTTGTTGTTGCTTATCCTCTCTCTTGTAAAGAAAGTTGAAGGCTTGATAAGTAGTTCTGTTGAGTGAGACGTTTAAAGTAAGGCATCTTCTCGGCGACAGGAGGGCCCCATCAGTGACGGGCCCTGAGTCTGTGTGGCCGCCCACGCTGGGCTCAGGCAGGGAGCTGTCTCCTCGGGCCCTTGATGGGGGCAGCGGATGGCCAGGCAGGCGTCCAGCGCGGCCTCAGATGCCTGTTCTCCGGGATGAAGGCCACCGGACCTGATGTGGTTGAGGACCCAGAGTCGGCCAGCCTCTCTGCCGCCCCTGGGCAGGGGAGCCACGCGGTGCCGTGTGGCCGGTCTGCCCAGCGTCTGCTGTGCCAGCTCCCGAGGGCTGGCCCGCAGGGACAGCGTTCTCAGGACACTCAGGTCTCTCATCTTGGTAAAACCGGTTACTTATTTTTAAAAACCTTATAAGTAAAGGCTAAAGCCCTGCCTGCAGGTCTGACCTGTCCTGGGGCCTCACCTGGCCTGTGAGCCGCCCTGCGAGGCCGACCTGCAAATAGGCCTCATCTCTGACGGCGGCAGCAAAGCAGGCAGAGAAACGCCCACTGGACCCACGGGATGACAGTGTCACAGGCCAGACTCAGGTCCCGGGAGAGTTTTGAAGAATTTCGTGGCGTGCTTCTGTAACCACCCTTTTTATTTAAAAAATTAATTTATTTATTTTAATTGGAGGTTAATTACTTTACAATATTGTGGTGGTTTTTGCCATACATTGACATGAATCAGCCATGGGTGTACATGTGTCCCCTATTGTAAAAACACTTTTTTGTCCCTTTCTTTCACACCCATCCTACCAGGGGCATTTGTTAAGTAAAACACGAAATACTCTCAGTTTTAAATACTCTCAATTTTAAATGAAATCACGAAAATGCAAAATTAGGCCTCATCTATAATAGTAAAATATATTTGTAATTGGAATGATTGAGGTTAACTCTGTAAAAGATTTGTCCCATGTATATGAAAAGTTCAACTCAAAAACATGTATATGAGAACTCAAAAACATTTTTTTTTGGACTTAAAGAGATGTGGTTCTAAAAATGTATGTCTTTATTTTGAATTATTTTGGCATATAAATGGGAAACAATAAAGAAATGCAGAGGAGTGCAAAATAAAGGTGTTTTAAAACAGAAAGCTGA